CTTTTGGTGCAGAATGACTTGGCTTCCCTGCTTTGGGAATATAAGTAACCTTTACCTCGTTCCATAGATCCGGAACATACGAGAGAGTCAGACACGCAGTGTAAATCTTCTCAAGGATCAGATAAATACTTGGCGAGGCATGTTGAAGCATCGCCGGTATGATACCATCCGGTCCTGGCGATTTATACGGCTTGAATTTGTTGACCGCCCATCGTATCTTATTTCTGTTAATCACCTTGCTAATGAGATCCAGATCCGGAGTGACGAAAGGCCGAGTGTCATCACGGTCATCGTCGATGGTACCCATGTCTTTGCAACCCGGAAAATGAGTCTCGGCTAGGAGATTTAGAGTCTCAGAACCTGAGTCCGTCCACGCTCCATCCTGCTTCTTAATACTACCAATGGACTTCGGGTCCTTGGATAGTAGTTTTCGAAACCTAGCAGCGTCGTTGACTCCTTCTATAGACTCACAGAAATTTACCCAAGACTTCTTCTTCGCGCGTTTTATCTCACTCTTGTACTTATTGAAACTAACTCTATAGGAGTTCCAATCAGTGTCGAGTTTAGACTTATGCGCCCTGTTATACAGTCGTCTGGTCGCTTTCCTGAGCTCACCAAGTTCCTTGTTCCACCACACTGGCCGAGATTTCTTCCCAGGGTGTGTAAGCGGACAGGATTCCTTATGACAACCAAGGAGAACATCCGTTAGATTTTTCACGACCCCGTTGAGTTCCACAGCTGTTCCTAGGTTTGTGCTAAGAGTCAGCTGAGAGTTCGTTAGCTCCGTGAATTTCTCCCAGTTTGTTCTCCTTGGATTCCGATAAGGCTTTTGTCTATCTCCATCAAAAGAGTACTCGAAGAGAATCTTTAAATGATCTGAGAAGGAGCATTCATCAGATACTCTCCAATTTCTAATGACGGAGTCATCTAGATTTGAGAGGGTTAAGTCAATGACCTCCTCTCTATCCCTAACTTTAAAGGTCGGATCACTACCCCTATTACATATACGTAAATTATAGGATAAGATGAAATCGAAAACGGACTCACCTCGTTTATTTGTGTCCTTGCTGCCCCATTGAAAATGGTGAGCATTTGCGTCGCATCCTAATATAACGTTGCAAGTGCTCGTCATCTCATCGAGCATCTCTCGTACACAGGTGGCTGGTGGGTCCAACTCCTCAAATGGCATGTAGACTGAGGAGAGCAGGGTGGCCCTTCCCTTCTCGTGCTCCAGCCTTACGGTGCACATGTCACCATTGCTGTAATTAGATAGAAAGATTAGATTTAAACTCTTCTTACCTACTATACATGTTCTCACCTTGTCCCCCATGGACGCGGCGAAAATATCAAAGTTGGCATTCCTTAGTCCAGAAACCATATTTTTATAAATATATGGCTCCTGGACTAGGGCAATGTCCACTTCCGAGTTCGTGAGGGACAGGAGTAGTTCGGCGGCTGCGGCCTTGCAATGATGCAGATTGATCTGCATTATGCGCAGCCTACGCCGCTTCCCCACTCCTACTGAGTTTCGGTGGATGTGCTCAGTCGAAACCGAACCCATCCTGAACCGAAGTTCAGTTTCCCCTCACGATCTCTGAGATATTTCTCTCCCGGTGGGTCAACCGCAACTCTCGCCACCATACCGCCATCCTCACTACAGGGAGTCAGACTGACCACAGTCCAACTCGATGTAATGAGGCTGGGGTTTTGCAGCGCCAGCATCTTCAGCAGGAGCTCCTTATCCACAGAAGGTGGGGGAACCCAGGCTGAAAGGACCCGTCTGGTTGGGATTTCCGCTAGGGAGACCGCCGCAAGGTCTGCTCCTTCCCAGAGCGCGCCAAAGCCACTAACTGTTTCCACAAGGAAATCCTTGGATTTCTTATTTAGACAGTTAATGACTTTGGCACCCTTCTGCATGAAGGCACTACCAAACTGTCGGTCCCCTTGGTCCGTCCCGCAGACGATAGCCGACCGAAGGGCTCCTTCAAATAGCAACCAATGACTTTCACTGATTCTACCCAGAGGATCAGCTTTGTCAATGATCGCCACAAGATCGTCTTCTTCAGTGGCTACCTTTGTTGGTCTATCATACGGCTTACGCTGCCGTTGACTACGAACCTTGGAGGTCGCCTTTCCAGAGGAGGTTGAAGCCTTCTCCGTACTTAGTCGTTTCCCCTCGGTTTTTTGTCCAACGCAAGCCGCATAAGAGGTAGAAGGGTCTACCAGACGAGAAGTCATCGTCTTCTTGGGTGAGGGTTGCGGACCTTCTGAAGAGCGGATGCGCTTCACAGATTTATTCTGTGGGGCGACATCTGCTCCCCCAGGAGACGATGGTTCCTTGACTGACTTCCCCTTCTTCCTGTTTCGACCACTTTTTGGTCCACTCAGAACTTTTTCCTCACCCTTGTCACTAGGCGCAGAATCAGACTTTGAAACAGTGCCCTTCGCATGTTGATCACCCGTATGGGTGCCATCCTGCTTTGGGGTACCTTCAACTGTCTTTTCCTGTGCTCGCTTACTTGGGCTCGGATCAGAACTGGGCTTCGGGTCAGAGATCGGCTTAGCACCTTTGTCAGAGACAGTGGGCTTTACCGATTCTACTACTTTTGTGCGAGCAGTGAAATTTGGGAGGGAGATCTTGTCCATCTCGAGTTCGCGATGGAGAGCGTGAGGGTAAATTCTCTCGAATTTCCTCACATATCTCATCTTACTCTTGATGAGGTGAACCTCCCTCTCCGAGATCAAATTCGCGTCTCGCCCCACGAATTTGCGAAGATACGAAACAGCACGTTTGTAATGCTTCGCATCGGTCACTTCTCGGGCCTTCCCAACCTTTGAGCCACTGTCCGTTTCCGGGGGATCGACAGATTCCCCATCGTCGGACATCACCTCTGTTGCGGATTGCCTCTGATTGCAGGTGCCGACACAGGACCCGTTGAAGACAGACTGGAGGTCGGTTGGACAATAGGGTCCACAATTCCTTCGTTGCTGCTATGGCCATCCCCCTGTGTAGACTTGGCTGGGAGGCTAGGTAGTATACACTACATACCGTCATCTATTATTGGTTATTCACCGCTACTATTTGATACCAGACGTTTTTCAAAATGCTCCTTCCAGATCCCCTAAGTCAATGTTCTCTAGAATGCGAGCACTTATTTGTTTCTGAAAATTTCGTGTCATGTGGTCCGTTACCACATGCCGGACATACATTGTCGGCCTCTCCATCAATTCGTGACCAATATGAATTGAGGCGGCTACACTCAACTGCGTCCGTGTGAATACTATTCAATCCTGCTAGATAGGCCTGTTGATCTAGGCTCCCTTTTGTACCTCTGGACCTCTCTCTCCAGATCATGGAGATCATTCCTGACATGCCTGGGTGGTGGGTGCCTATCCATTAGATAGCGGCTTGGATGGTTGCTCCTATAACACCCAAGCAGGTATTGCATCGACAACATTTTGTTGTGTTGACGCACAGGAAGGATCTTCGTCTCCTCATGTAAGTGGTCTATTGGAGTCATGAGGAGACACCCTGTTGCAGTGCTCAGGGCAGCATTCTGGCAGGATTGAAGACTTTTCCACTGCGTTGCACTGACGTTATCGGACCACACTAGCGCCGCATAGTTTACCACAGACCGGCCTTTTGCTGTACAAGTCGTTGTCAGCTCCCCAAGTGCTGCCGGCTAGCGACTTGAGAACCTTGTTTCTGCTCCTGACTTTATCGCAAATAGCTGTGGCGCGGACGACTTGGGGTAATTAGTGGTCGGAATTGTGGACCCCTCAACCTGCACACCCAAAGAAAGCCGCATCTCCGCTTTCCATGTGGTAAACAGTGTGGCCATTGACTTAGTGGCGGATATTTTCATATTCCTCGACCGCAAAAAGTCAGCGATATCCACGAGATAGTGGTTCAGACTCTCGTAAATGTCATCAATTTTAGGTCCTGACGCCATAATCGTGCTATTATCCGCATATTTTACGATCTTTATGCCGTCCGGTGGGCGCAATACTCTTCTCTTTGCCCGGTCACTCTCGGGGTGCTCTATAAACTGCCGGTTGAAATAACACGCGCACCTCTTCGGATCTGTCACCTCAACGCCGTTAAACGAGACAGAAGTCTGATCCTCCTTCTTTCCAGGGTGCGAGAGCGACTTAACCGTTGCCCACAATTTACTCGCTCCAGTACTGATGTTGCAACACTTCAGATGTTCTAGCCACTTTTTCCGCTTATGCTCGCCGAATAACCTGTTCACCTCCAACGTCAGTTCTCTGACACTGGTGTTAGAACGACGAAGCTCATAACGCTCATTCGCTAGTCCCGCTGCCTCTGCAGGTATATAAAGAGCGGCTGCAGCAGTGATGATGTCCCGGAAATTCCTTTCTGCTACCCGAACATCAGAAGGGGTGGGCAGTTCTCTGAAGCGACGATTGGTGAAATTTCTGAACTCTTGCCAATTGGCTTTCCCATGATTGATGGATATGATAATAGTGAGGTGGTCTGACCCCAATGATATGAAGGGTTGCCAAGCCACGTCATTCGTCAGACCCGGAGACACGATGGAGATGTCCGGTGAGCTTTGGCAGTCTCCCCTTATCCTGGTGGGTATGTCCTCATTCGCCGTGCAAAACGTTGAGCTATCAATTTGCTCGGCCTGCGCCATGCCCCTCTGCATTGAAATCCCCTAGCACCAGACGGTTATTTCGGGTAATGAAGCTCCCAAGTTGAAAAGATACACATTGTACTTGCTGGATTGACAGCCCTTGATCCTCCGAGTCAATCCGGTGCATAGAACCGGCCGTCGTGGGAATGTTTGTGTACTGTAGTTATGGTTGGGGGCCAATATAAATATATGTTTATATTTAGATGTAAGTGTTTTATATTGAAAATATCATTTTATGAAATATGTTTGCCGGGTCAGCTAGTATTATTATAAAAATTATTTGTTATTATTTTCAAAATTTACAATTTCTTATATATATATATATATATTTCATTACAGGCGACGATACATTATATCTGAACCAAGGAGATAACTTGGAAAAAATATACTTTGGCGCAAAATTCGTTTTTCCAAATAATAAAACAGATACACATACACAATTGCCAAATGAAAAAGAACCAGATGACTGCTTGGAAATAAAGAACACTGTCGATATATCGAGTATATTGGCCGAAAGTAAATACTGGACAGTTCTACAATTACCTCAGACGTATGTTGCAACTAACTGGCCGATTCGCTATTCTGCTATAGATGGCGAAGGCGTTCACGTAGCAGTTGCCGGCCGAACTGGGTTGGCACACTATTCTATGCCAACTAAAAAGTGGAAACTTTTCGGCAACGAATCTCAAGAGAAAGATTTCGTTGTATCCGGTGGATTATTATGGTGGAAGGGATTTATTGTCTGTGGCTGTTATTCCCTTCTGGACCGAACGGATGAAATACGCTGCTATCCCGAAGAATGCAAATTGGACAATCAGTTTGGTAATCGTATACAAGTCAGGGCTCCAGTTATATCATTGAATATGTTTCGCGATCAACTAATTGCTCTAACAGCAGATGGTATCGTCACATTATTTGCTTTGCGCAAGTGTGACGCATATACGCTGAAAGCTGATTGTGTATATGAGGTGGATGTCAAAAGTATTTGTATTCATCCGGCGTGTATAGTGTCACTGGCAGTAACTAATTTACGCAATGATTTGACTGCCAAATCGATGGTGTCAGCAGGGAGTGGAGAAGCAGAAACTATCGTAGTTAACGTATGTGGTCGTATACTAATGATTCAAAGAGATAACAACAATGCCGTTGTAAATTCTTTGATGGCATCGTGCCTGGCATCCTGCGTGGAATGTTTCTGGTTATCAACATCAACTCAAGTTGGAAGCCCTATGCGCGACTGTTTGTGGTTATTTTCCGGTATACATGGAATGAGGGTGTGGCTTCCAATATTGCCCCCATCTACGGAACAAAGAAGAGACTCTTCTCATCGACTTCATACGTTCATGTCAAAGCGTATTATGTTATCCTTCCCATTGAAGCTTTATCCCTTGGTCATATTGTTTGATAATGTGATTGTGCTGGGTGTGGAAAATGAGACAATACTGTACACAAACGAGTCGAATTCTCATTTTTCTTTACCATTCTCACAACTTGAACGCAAATCACAAGTCTATTTGCACAAGATTTTGAGGCAACTTATTAAACGCAACTTAGGTTACAGTGCTTGGGAAATTGCACAATCTTGCAGACGTCTTCCGTATTTCCCGCACTCTTTGGAACTATTGTTGCACGAAGTTTTAGAGGAAGAAGCAACTAGCAAAGAACCCATCCCCGACGCTCTATTACCAAGCATTTTGGATTTTATACGGGAGTTTCCTGTCTACTTGCAAACAATTGTGCAGTGTGCACGAAAAACTGAAATTGCCCTTTGGCCGTATCTCTTCTCCATGGCTGGGAAACCAAAGGACTTGTTTCAACAGTGCTTGGAATCTGAGGAGCTAGTTACAGCTGCAAGTTATTTAATTATATTACAAAATCTAGAGCCTTCCATTATAAGTAAACAGTATGCTACTCTTCTCCTGGAAATAGCACTGCAGCATCGCAATTGGGAACTGGCCAAAGATCTGATACGGTTTCTGAAGGCTATTGACCCAAATGAGATTGATTCGCCGCGTTCTTCAATGGTGGTCAATTTGAAAATTGCCCCGCCCTCTCAATCGCAGTCACAAGTCAATCAGAATCCCGATGCTTTCAACTTAGTATTGGGGCCAATTGGTCGCGAACGTAGTTTCTCGACCACCGTGTTGGCGTCGAATACATTGAAAGATAAGAAGGATAAACAACCCTCAAATTTTGCAGCTGGGGCTGCAAGTGAGAATGTCCCATCAAGTAATAGCGGATCTGTGGTAGTTGTTCGAAGGAAGTCGGAACGAAGTCACTCCACAAAAAATGAAAAGCGAGAAACTTTCTGCATTGAAGGTATATTGCAGAAGCACGCAAGGAAGCTTTTACAAAGCTGCAAACTGATTGACTTAGGTTATATGAGTGCGTTTCTCGATTTTCATTTGGTTACGTGGTTGTCACAAGAAGCTGAAAAAGCAGCTCGCCTTGAAGACTATGTCAATGCAATAACCCAGTTGCACGAAGAGTTAAAACTGCAAGCACCAGCTTCTTACCAATCACCATCGGATTTCTCAGTGCAGGAATTGGAAAAAAGATATAATTTAGACAAGCACATGCACGTTCCCAATTCGTCATGTCAGACATCTGAATCTGGATATTTTAGTCTAGCACTAATGGATACCCCAACCAGTACAAATAATGGCAACATCACTCTCCACACCAACATTCCGTCCATTAACGAAAATGAAGAACTGCAGTACCAATCAGTGTCGCCCCAAATCCATAATAGCAACGTCGAATTCAACAAATCACGTTCTAACTCTCAAACATCACTAGATCATACGTTGTACAGACGTGCATTTTCGGTTAGTGATGAAATGTCATCTTCGTCCTTAACGCTTGGGCTTCACTGTAGCACAGAAATTCCGCAGAAGATTATACCGGAGAAATTAGCTATAAAATTGAGGTATCTCTTGCAGCTGTTCATCGAGGCGAATTGTGTGGATTTTGCACTGGTTTTGTCAATAATACTACAAGATGCATCCTCTATCGGACGCATAATAAATGTCCTCACAAGGTCAGAGTCAGTGGCGACATGCTGTCGCATACAGAATGCGTTAAAACGCGCTGCCCTGTGGTCCTTCGAAATGGAATGTATATATCGATCGTTTATGATTTCTTTACAGCCGCATATCTATCTTCTGGATCAGTTTATTCAAACATCTACGTCCACATTGCTTCCAGCTGCCACATCTTTGACATCTACCCAGACGAATATGAATAATAGTCGTAGTTCGGAAAACAGTGATCCCAATGATGTTTCTAAAACAGGCGATCATCAGGCCGAATGTTTACAGAGCAACCACATTCAGCACAGCGGTGAAAGTGTCAGTGGCAATTGGTCCTATGAGGACAAACGTAATATATTGTCTCGTCAATTAAGTTCGGATAGTGCTTTAAGCTCCACCGTTCAACGTCAAACACAACTTAATAATGCCAATATCAAAAATTCCTCCCCAGGCACCGTAGACCATAATGAATCCAGTGGTTGTGTAGTTATGTAATTTGCCATCTTTGTTTTTTGTACCAGCCTTTGAAGCTGGTAATGTTTGTTTCTTTGTTATTGCAATATATACGTCGTGACTGTTAGAACAATCGCCGTTTCGCATGTAATCGTGAGCAATATGTTTTGATATTAACATATATGTGATCGCGTCATTCGTCCCCATTTAGTTGATTGATTGGCAATCACATAAAAATCAAAATATTATAATTATATCATATAATGTATGTACATATACGTACGTTATTATACAACGATTTTAAATTTTAACATTTAATATAGTATTTAATATTTCTAATTAATCCTGGATATTGGAAAATAAAAGTGTACAATGTATAAAACAATTAATAACACTACATACGTACAACAAAATATACATATAATTTATATTTTATTAAATAAGCATATATGTGTTTTGAATTTATCTCTTTCACTTCAAGTTGCCTTAGCATCAGCCAGAAAGAACTGTTACGTATTGTTCAAAGATCGATAAGGGGGAAAGAAATATTCCCCTAAAAGTTTCCAATCACAGGATTAAATTTAAAAATTTAGGTCTATTTTGTATATTACGATTAATGCAATTGTCAAAAATATATTTAAATGCTATTTGAAATAGCTACATACTTTTCTGTTGTGCACTCAGTCTGAAAAATAATAGCCCAATATGAGGAAAAGCAAATCCAACTTTGAAAAAATAAATTAAAAAAGTTAGGGGTCTTCTTTCAAAATTCTGAAGTAATTTTGAATGTTCAGTTTATACAATTCAATTAAACCAATTTGCAATGCACACACATTTATGTGTGTATCCATTTTTTGTCTTTTAGTCTGTTATGATTATTACGATTATTGTAGTGACGATTTTGGAGAAAATGCTAATCATTTCGGCCTGTATAGAATCATACTTACATCTAGTGTCAATGGCCAATTAATCCTACTTATCAGAAACCTAAATTACATTCGTTCAATATTTATAAAAAAGGAGGACATTTTCTATCCAGTGATAATTGGATACGATGCCCAGAAGTCCGAAAAATATGAGGAAAGATGGTCAATTAATTGTAAATTAAGGAATTGTACAAAGAATCTTAAAAGGGAAGGAAAGGGAAGAGAAATGCACATTCTCACATTTTCGAAACACGTACAGGTCCAAAAGACATGTGGAACGTTGTTAGAAGCTTTGGTTTAATAAAAAAATTGTGGTAACGTTTCTGAGTATAAACTTACAGTTAAGTTAGGTTACAGAATGCGTGGCTGTCAAATGACAGCCGCTACCCACGGAGACATTGTCCATTGTGAATATACTAAAAGAAGTTAGCGGAAAAGGAGAAGACAATGGCAGAAGGAAGTAGTAAGGTTAGTTAGGAAGGTTAGGAAGTAGTAATTAATAATTAATAAGTTAATTGAAACATGTCAATTTTCTAGCAAAGTGATCTAGCAAAGAATCTACCGACAGAGTAAATGTTCGATAGTTTCTGTTTCCTCTTCATCCTCACATAGACGGTAATAATCCACATCATCTGCAGTGACCTGTTATGAACACTATGTTTATCTTTCCTGAACATAGAAATTGATGTTTTAGATATACGCTTAGAAATTACCTGACAAATATTTTTATAAGTCCTACATCTAGACTCCTCATTATATCTTATTGCTATTTTCTCAACAAATAACTTTGGGATTCTTATATCAATTGACTACAATCCTTCTGTCACTATGACCTGTAACCCAACAAAGTGTAACAAAATGCCGTATATCTCGCAGAGCATATTTATAATCTGATCTGTAGTTTCTCGACCACGACCTGATTGACGCCGCTTGACTATCAACAAATATATTCACCGATACTGGGTCACTAGTACACAGTTCCTTGACTAACCCCGCTGCTATCATGATTGCTAAAATATCTGCTTGACAAACGTCAGTTTTTATTTAGTTTGTATGAGTTCCAGATTGCATGTTCTGCACAGAAAATTTCCGCACTTGTGTCTTCTTCCGTCTTTGAACCATATGTTATATCGACAGACCGTCAAGAAGAGGAAACTCAACCGACCAGGACCCTCTGCTTGGTATTGTTTAAATACCTCAACATTAACGTGTCAAACAGCCACTTGAGTTTCTATTGTGACAGAATTCATAATCTGTTAAGTGCAGCACACATGCGCGCCTTCATCATAAATGCGCTTCTGGTTGCCTGAAAACAAGTTAATCGCCCATGTGACATGTTCCGAGAGTTTTTGAATTCCCATACTTTTTTAGATTCCCATTTTGTGCAAAACGGTGTGCCCAATTTCGATCGAAAGTGTGGCTCGAAACATTAGCTTTGTTCAATATGTTACGATCTGTGTTCACTAACTACCAACAAAAACATATGTTTTTAACGTATTTTCTATTTTTTTAACAACAAAATTATGAAAAACTGCAAGCTGGCGTGATAATTGCCCTGATTTCTACTAGAAGAAGGCTAATGATATTGGAAGGTTTTAAACGACGTCGCCCTAGGGAATCTGTGTAAGTATTTCGATGTTTGCAAAGCTATGCAATCCTGAAAAGGTTGTGGAAATCGTAAACGAAGGAATGTATTGTTTAAAAATCTGTCATGTCTGCCATATCGAGCTCACAAAATTCTAGCAATCTTTACGACGGGGGAGGTGGCGGCAGTATAATGGGTATGGATAACAATGCTTTGACAACAATCTGTTATCGAAATTTCCCCAATAAAATGACAGCATCCATGGCCATTTTGTCGGCCTCACCATCCAAGTCAGCTGCGGGCTCATCGTCAAAGAAAAAATCCCCAACATCCTCATCGACGCTAGCATCCTCGTTAAATGCGACGGCGTCGGGAAATGAATGACTTTTCATTTTCTTTAATTTTACTAGAAAATCTAATTTGAATACTATTTTTTTTAATTAAATGTTGTAAAAACAAGTTAAATATTAAATCTGAATTCTTTTTAAAATTTTATGTGCTCAGAAAAGCACGTACAATCTCATTTCTTTTTCGATCCTACATGTGGTCGAATTGTATTCCCAATATTTTTTTGGGTATTCGGAATGGAGCACACCAAATGTGGGAAAATGTTTCACATTCGAGCAAACTCGAAATGCAGCACATGGGTGAATAAATCAAGTGGATTAAGATTTGTTATCGCATTCAGAGCAGCCTAGGAGCCCTTGATATAGGACTGCTGCCGACCTTCCTCAATACCTCAAACAAGACATCCACAAGTAAGAATTGGAAGGACAACTGCATCAAAAAGCCAGTGTACGATATGCAGTGACAGTCTTCAACTCTTACCTATTGAGTTTCTGCACGAATACAGTGCTGCAGTCAATTTCCACGATATATGGTTGGAATTCTGCGCTTTTTGACGAACAGTGCCAGTCTTCGCGTGGTTGTCTCCTGTGTTAGGTTAGGTTTGGGGATGTGCAGTCACTTATGTGGCTGCAGCACTCTGAGGCCGTTAGGTCCGTTGTGATCATCTACTAGAATAAAAGAGATAAGGACAGATCTATAGGGGAGAGAAGATTGAGGAAATAAAGAGAGATGAGACGCTTATAGAAAGATATAAGAAGGCATGATTGGAATAATGTCAATGGCTATAGAGATCAGACAGAAGATATATTACGTGTCAATGTTGAACTTTACCAACCACTTTAGTTTCTAATTATGCTGTAGATTAGAGCAGGTTCGGTTGTTGAGAAGAAGCTAAGACAGAAGATGCTCAAAGTTCCGGTAAATATGACATATGGGTGGTTTGATTGAGTCATCAATTGCTAGATCTGTGTATTGAGATCTTTGTCTAGCTAGTTCGTCTGCTCTTTCATTACCCAAGATGTCACAATGTACCGGTACCCAACACAGCTGTATGTAAGTTCTTCCAAAGCTGCTCTACACTTGAGGACGGCATCAGATTTGATATAACCAGATTTGATGGTTTTAAGAGCAGCTTGACTATCCAGACTTTTCATCAATTCCGCTGCCTTCCAAATCGCGACCATGCCTAAAGGTACAACTTCGTTATAGGCTTTGTTCATGCAGCCTTAGGGCCCTACGAGCCGCCTGACACTTAATGTTGAGGCGCAGGGGCCTAAAATTCAGCATTGCGTTCAGAGCTGCTTGTGGCGTACTCCTCCTGGCTCCTGTAACTAAAATCGAGGCGGTTCTTTGTACGTTATCTAATTTATTGGATGTCGACTTGTGACGCAGACAGTTCCACCACACAAGAGAACCATAGGATAGGATGGGCCTTACCACGGTGTTATGCAACCTTTTCCCAATGGAGTTCTTGCATGCATAGAGTGCAATCAGCTCTCTCTTCGCCCGTTCCTCATCGTCCTATTCCATCGTAGTTGACAGTCCAGGATTGTGCTGAGGTACTTCGCTTCAGGAGATAGATGAAGTTGCACTGCATCCAGTGTTGGTGGAGCAAAAACGCCGAGCTTACACTTCCTGGTGAACATTACCAGTTCTGTCTTTGTTGGATTTACAATGCTGTTCGCTCTGGCCCAACGCGACAGCGTCAGTAAGGCTCTTTGCATAAGCTCCGAGATTGTTGACGGAAATTAATATCACCACGTCGCCCGCATACGCATACACACCTCCCTGAGGTGTGCCTCTAGCTAACGTTTTCCTGATTTTTGTATCCCCCACACTTGAATTTATAATTCTGCTGTAATACGTAAGGGTATCAGGAATACCAATTTCTTTAAGTGAATGGTTTATGGATTCAAGTTTAACGTTGTTAAAGGCTCCCTCTATACAGTGAGCAGCAAAAGTCATGGTACCTCATACAAATCAAAAAATATTCAGTAATTCCTGAACAACATTTCAAATATATATTTTTATTCCATGTATTCAATCCTATACTACAACAAATTAAAGTAATATTTCATATTTTTGTTAAAACAAAATATAATACAAAATCGATAGAGTGCCAAGTCCATATTTTGCACACCGTTCAGCCAATAGTCGTTGGATCAGCTACAGTCCCTCCATCT